CCAAAGTGAGGAGGCCATTTTGACTGACAGATCCTGCCATGTTCAGATGGAAAGGCCTTCGCTTGCATACAAATGGCCTACTTTGAGAACTCGCGCGCGCCATGCCAGTCGCCGGCTTCGTTTTTCCCCTGGCCCCTCCTCCCAACAAAGTGATACGAACTGTCGGGGGCCGTGGATATTTATTGTTATAAAGGCAAAGAGGCCTACTTCGGTGAAACTAGCTCTCTCTCTCTCTTTCTCATCTCCCTGGCTGGATGGGCCATTGCTTCAGTGCAGCATCCACTGCCTGTATGCAGATAAGCCGTATTAATTGGGCCGAGTGGAGTACTGGAGGATGGGGTGAAAGAAGGGGAGATGGAGATATGGTCCAGGGTAAAGCCACTGAGTTCTGTCTTATGGAGAGACGCTGAAGCCAAGTGCTTTCTGAAGCCAGATATACAAACAAAATACTCTTTCTTGTATCAGTGGTTCCCAAATTGTCACTAAAAACTCCCTTCCTTGAAAAGCAGAATAAACAAAGTCATATTTAAAGTAATGTCAAAATAAGTACATCAACAGTCAGCTTCTGAACAAAATGTAATATAACGGCGTATGAAGTGCGACGAGCTGAAAAAAGTTGTGAGAAGCGACGGCAGTTGGATAAGATGCTGTGTTACAAAATTAAAAGAGCGGAATTTGTTAGTAATAGGATACAGTTGAAGTCAATGTTGCATTTCCTGTATAGAGCCTGAAACAAGAAGTTGTTTAGTAGGATTTGAGGTTTTCATGACAGTGATGGATGATGGCTGTCTTCTGAGCTGTAGAGCCGTGTAGCCTGGTAGAAGTTTACAAGAGGTCCTTGCTGCCTCCATCATCAGGGCAATGAGACCCTCATCGACACTACATTTTTCTTTTATTTAAAATACTTCGTTAGTATTTTTGCTAAAATAGGGACTGTAAAGCCGAAGTGAGAGACGCTGGATAGCTTGATGAAAGTAAGAGTCCGGAATTAAGAGGGATTAGAAGAGAAGTGGATTAAGGAATCTGCATAGAAAATTATGATGAACAGATACTGCTGAGATACCCCAGAATTTTGTGTAAATAGTGCTTAATCAGAGCACATATAAGGAATGTAAGAAAATATTTAAACAAAGTTGTGCTTAAATGGGGAAAAGAGAACAAAATGCAAACTAAAAGCTAATAACATTAGAAGAGAGAAATGTAGAAGATTACGTAGATTAACTACACTAGTTCAAAAAGTCAAATGAAGCTGTAACTGTACACAATATTTTGCACTGTAATAGCCAGGTGTTAAACAATGGTCAAGCCAATTCAAAATTAATGTTATTTAGTTTAGAATCGTTTCTGTTCCCAACTGTCACGTAGAAACACATAGATTAAACATACAAAACTGTAATGTTACCTGTTGTTTTGTATGTCTGTGAAGTTTGGTCAACATGTATTGAGGGTATCTGAGAACAGGATGTTGAGGAAAATGTTGCAGACATAAGAGGAAGGATGTAACTGGAGACCAGAGAAAATTACACAGTAAAGAGTTCGTAATCTCTCCATGAGCGTAGATAACAGTACAGTCCAATATTAAAATAGACCTTAGATAACTAGTTTGGAAGGGCATGGACTGGATTTGTCTGGCTTAGGATACGTACCAGTGGCGAGATTTTGTGAACACAGTAATGAACCTCCGAACTATATACAGGACCAAGAATTTCTTGACTATCTGGGTTACTACTAGCTTGTCAATACGGTCTCCGCCCGACAGAGTTAGTTGCAGCTAATAGACGAAGCACAAACTGTTTTAATCTATTCACTTTGTCACTGAACTTAGAGTTAACACAAGATCACTTTCTCATCGATCGGTTCTTGCGCGTAAGAAATAATAGCTGGGTACTCTGAGAGTCATACGTAACCTATAAATGTAGTCTGTGGGCAAACCGCCTAACTATTGATTGTTAAAACTTATAATTACATACAGAATGTCCCAAAAAGATGTATACACGCAAGATTAATATTAAGTATTATAATGTATATACATATTTTTGGGACATTCTGCATTATTAGCATTATGTCTTAAAAGTTTAGGTAAATGCAGTCGGAATTAGTTACAGAATTATAGAAAAGGTTTATGATAAGACATCTAAATAGATGTTATCAACATAAAATGAAGCTCTGACATAATTTGTTAAGTTCCGAGAGCGTCTTGCTTTAAAGCTGTGAACGTGAATATAAAGACGGACGTCTTTTGTTGACTGTTGATTAACGCACGCACGTTTCTTGTGTGAAAATCATTACCAATCAGTCTAAATTGTATATCACTGCTAGGAGTTTCCAGCTTCGAGTCACGGTCCAGTCATTTTCGTGGACTCCTTCCCCCTTTGCAGGTGGATGCTGGGATAATGCCTTCAATTACCGCAGCGACGATTCTAGGGACCCGGAAGTAACTTAAGTGTTTTGATCATAACCTCACACCTTATCATTTCGCTTAACGGCTACGCTAAACTCGACAGAAACGCTAGGAATAATTTAAATTTCACAAATCTTTTTACGTATTTTATTCTGTGAAAGTCGAAAATGCTTAGCAGTGTAAAGGTAGTGATTTAACTATACGGACATGCGGACAGTGGTACCAGAAATGGATAGCTATGTAGTACAAGTAATGTAATAAGCTTTAAAATTAATAATATGTGTACCTGCACTTAAAAATTAAGCAGCGTGAAGACTGAAGAAGTTCCATTGAGCCTCGAAGCTCCGACACCGTTCGTGATGTCTTAAATTAGGCCACAGCTGGCTCCTTAAAAATCATAATTTAAATTTGAGCTCAAATAAAATTGTATCAGTTTACAAATAATACTTTGTCGACTGCTAATTTTGAATAATTTTGTCGATAAAATTAAATACGTATCTCACTAACATCTACGACTTTTTGTTCACGTGTGAAAACCTGAAGTATCACTGGTCTATTCTTATTTTAAGTTAGACCCTATGTTTATTATGAAATATAAAATGTTAGTGAATATTGATTGCTGTAGCAATGTACGAAGGAAGGTATTTTAGTTTAATGGTGAACTTAGCATGCGAAGGGTTAGTACTTGAGGAACTGCAGAGTTTTATGTTGGTAATTGTGTATAGATCAGGCTTTCCGTAAGGCAGAGCTCAGTGGCTAAAGTGCAACGTCGCCTCGTCTCTGGTTTAACTTTTCCAAGAGCTATCTGGGTTTGCTGCGAGAAGGGCGTAAATTTTGGCGGTGCTTGTGGCGCTATCACATTATATCGAGCATTTCTCTCTAATTTACGGCTTGTAATTAAAGGGTTACCCACGCGTTTCATGGATGCATTACAAGTTTAAAGGACATTTGTAACGGAAGTTTGAGTTCGCAGCTTTTTGATAGGTCGCTGTTCTAGGGAGAGAGATTGTGAGAAGGAAATGGGGAGAGGGGACGGGGAGAAGTCGAGATTCGATTGCAACCGCCTGGAAACAAACTGGTGCGAGAAAGATAGCATTACGGTCTCTACGTATTGCAATATAAATCTAATAAAACCTTTTTAACTCTTCCCGTGCTACAGACGAGATACGTCGTTGAGAAACGATCTTCTCTGTTCCAATCAACTCATGAATTTGATAATGTAAGTGAAAATGAATTATCCTTCCATATCTTGACAATAAGGCCTAAATTAGTAAATCAGATTATCACCAATTAGTAGCTGTGGAAATATAGAAACAAAAGGTGGCATTTGTTTCATAAATTAAGCCGACACCTGTACTTTTATTTATTTAATAATAATGTCAGTAGCTCAGATTATTTGGCGTTGAGTGTTAGAATGAATTATAAATAATGAATATTAAAAGGATATGTAAGGAAGCAGTCGTGGTCTTATTGAAAATATTACCTAAGCATTTGCCAATAGGGAGTAAGGAAAACCAAGAATAACCCGATTCGAGATGATGTCGGAGACGAGAGCTTAACCTGGGTCCGTCCAAATGTGAAACAGGAAAAAATGCACGTACTTAATTATTCTGGATAATATAACAGTGGGTTCCTAGGATACCGTCACAGACCGAGACACAAAATCATGTGGTTAGATTTAAGAAAAACTAAACAGGATTTACAAAAAAGAATCACTTCTAAGACTTCTCGCTGTCAGCCCTCAAGGTAGGACCTCATGATGCACATTTAAGCCCATAGCTCCTTTAAACTTACGTTGAAATTTCAATTTGCACACTGAGTCATTTACTGCCAATTTCAAATCATCGACTTTGTTCTTTAATTCCATGCTATCCATCTCCTACAGTGACTTCGTAGAAGTTTTCCAAATTTCTCTTTCAAAATTTGTTTGTGTTAATAGCCTCTCTTGTTCTAGTAAATTTCACAGACCATTGTAACCAATTTTTCGTTACATTCGTGAAACATTCTGAATTCTCAGTTTGTCCTCCTCAAGTCATAAAGTTCCAGAGCACTTGGTTTTGAGACACGTTCTGCCTCAAAGTGAGACTATTTCACACCCATACAAAATAACTAATTACTCCCCACATGTTAAGAGCGTGTATTTATAGAACTCACCGTTAGATGGCATGCAGGACTGTTCAGCTTATTCTGCCATCTATACTTTGCTACAGAATTTGTGCTGTTATGTGACAGGAAATCGGTATGAAATTCCTGTTCCGCCATGTTCTTTTTGGTGATTCTTCGTCAACGTTTATTAGGATGAATTTGTGTTATTTTGTACATAGAATGAGCCATTTAACATAAAAGAGTATGTTAAAGTATCTTCAATAAGTCCGAACTGCATTCATGTGTCTGTCTTTAAGGTATGTATTTTGACAAGCGGGCCCTATGTGTTTATTCCCAGGGCGGAATGATACCGTAAAGTAGGCCGTAGGCTTTGGAAGTCAAATGAAATATGAATGAAGTTATCCGAAGACGTGAACATTTGGCGGCTTTGCTTGAACATCGTTGTTGTTGATTTCGTATATTTAGTTAAGTTAATACGATTTCATTGAAAAGCGAAATAATATTTTTAATGCATGTGCAGTCTTTCATATATTTATACTTGTTATTTTTGTTTAACTTTTACTAAGCCATGCAAACAATTAATGGCTTTAATAGCCAGCTCCTTCATATGTAATTTCGTCAAGACAATCACAAAATATAATATGCGGTGTATGAAATGGGTGACATCAAACATAGAGCACGGTTGATTATACAGTAGGATGTACATTTACATTATGTAATTCAGAGCAATGTCAAATTTGGTTATGGTTTACATTTCCATTCTTATTTAATCAATTAAATATAATACACAAGCAAAATTCAACATACCTATCAGATGTATATATTGACAAGAGTATATTATAGTGAGGAATTGGTACTTTTTCTACCTACATTCCATTTATTAATCTAAAGTGAAGAATTTGTAGCAATGTTCCAGAGCAGATATCTAAGTTACAATATGATGATATGTTTTTCTGGTTAAGTTGATATGGTTTTTGTAAAGGCTACATGTTGTAAATAAAACCAAAATTCAAGGATATTTTAGGACTGATAGAATTGTTTACATGGTACATAGTGGTCACTGCATTGTAAAGTTTTCACTCGCATGGAGCCGTATTATAGCAACTGCTCATTTTTACTCAGTTTTATAGAACTTTTGATGATTTGCACTATAGTGAGTATGCTATTTACTGCTTGCATGTCATAATAGTAGACAAAGGAGCTGTAGTGATATTATTACATGGTTTTCTACTGGTAACAGTTAATGGTATTGTTTGTAGTTCTTGTAAATATTATAATTTATAACAACAAAACAATGAATTTAACAATAGTCTTTTTATGGTTGAGCACCAAAGACAGTGAGAACATGTTGACTGTTGACAGACAAAAAAATGTTTTCATTTAGAAACAGCGGGATCATGCATGTACCAGATCAGTACTTGTCCTGACTACACCAGATAACTCCAGGTTTATTCTCATGGCTTGCATACAAGACATGGTGGTAACATTCCATTAAGTACTATACTTTGGATTTGTGTAAAGGTAATAAATGCCTACTGAACTAGGATTTAGATCCCAGGATAATGTGAGTTGTTGTCATCTATTATTCTTGTTACTCCTTTGAAGAGCCTATAGCATCCAAAATGTTCTCCCAACAGACACTATTTATGCCAACTGTTAAATATTTTATGTTTCACATTCTTCTAAATCTTCCTTCTCAGTTGTTCTGATGCCCTAACATTCCAGTATGTAAGTTTTATTTCATATGTTTCAAGTGAAATGTCATCAACACAGGATCAGTCTTGCTTTTGTTTCTTTAATATTTGAGTTTTAAAATGTGCTGGTTATTAGCCTACAGTATCTGAGTCTGGTGGTGGGAATGCCACATTAGCTTCCAGATTAGCCTGCAGCTGCTTTAGTCTGGCCTGCTCCCTTTGAACTTATCAACAAGGGAACTCTACCAGGAGTCGAGGCTCTGATTGGTATCACTGTCAGGATTACTGAGGCATGCAGGCCTTTCTGCCACATCAAGTCAGCAGCTGCATGGGAGGAGGATTATGTGATAAACATATAATATCCCACCTCGCTTGAAGCAGTTCTTGTTACAGTTTTTACAACAAATTTTCTGTACAAATGGAAGAGGTTAACCTGTTTGCTAGGGATGTATGTCAATCAACTTATGTGTTTTTATTGAGGACAGAACATAAGAGAAACATTTTTTTAAATAGAAATGAATGATTTAAGTTTGAAAATGTTGCACTTGTAATGTAGCCTAACACATCTTTCACACAACACATAACCTTTATCTGTATGTAAATATTATTGATTCAGATAACCCTATTATTATTGTGAGACCATGTCTCTGGAACTGCGGCCACATTGTCCATCTCCCAGACATTACATGAATAAGAATGGAGCAGTGGTATGATGATACTGACAGGAAAAAGCTGAATCTGTCCCAGTTCCACTTTTTCCAACACAAATGCCACATGGACTGTCCTGAGCATGAACCCAAAACTCTGCAATGAGAAGCTGGAAACTGACCATTCGAGCTATGGCACATACAAATGTGTGGCTGAGAATTCCTAAACTTATCTTTTTGATATCACCATGTCCTGCCTGAAATCTTCATTAAAAGGTGATCTGGAAGTCAATGATGAATCTTTGACCATGGAGGACATTCTTCTTTTCATTGTCATTATTACTTACATGTTATACTGTACAGTACTTTATACTTACACATTATAAACATTATGTATGTGTAAGTTACCTATTTTTAAATTTCAATGTACAATAAAACCTTAGATATGTGTCTTCAAGATTACTACCCCTACTCCATGATCCTCTATGCCCTAGCCTGTACCAAACATGATTTGTCTAACTACTCAGTAAGTTTGGAACTTAACCTTCTGCTGCTGGGAGAAAAGACTGATTGAGTTGAAAGGTTTGACATTGATTGGAAAAGGTATATTTCAGATGTGGAATTTTCAATTTTAAAACTATTTTTTGGAATTTTCATTATACCATATTCATATCAGAAATAATTATGTTATTTTTCCTTGAATAGGTATGTTTTTGTCTCCAAGTGTGCCTGAATCATGAAACCATGTCACCAGTTAAAATTGATAAAAGTATTATCACAAAATTTTCATGTTAAATTATTCTCATTTTAGAAGATGATCCCCTTTTTTTATCCCTGTTTTAAAGAATTCAGATGCAGACACAAGAAGTGCTAAAGCATTGTACTAACTATGAATTCTTGGGCTGATAACTTATCTAATTTTTATCAGTTTTGAGGTCAGTCATTACTCAAACTTTTTATACCAATCAGAAATGGCCTGTGTACATGGCAGGTTAGTATCCATAACATCTGTTATTGTCTTACATATTTTATCCATACCCTACATATTGATGTCTTTTCTCAGTTAGATGTGTTCAAAACATCTGTGCTCAGTCACCATTGCAGTAAGTGATCAAAATCCAGGATACCCAAATATTTTTAATCTACCAAAGCCTATTCTGCTAGGACAAGCAGAGATACATACACACAGTGAGCATAGGACCAATTTACACACCTTTGGAACAAGTTTTGTTAAAAATCCTGTACAAGTTTACTAACTCCAAATTGTTTGTTTTATCTGGAGGGAAAAATGTAGTTACATAGTTGAAAGTTTTCAGTTATAAATTATTTAATTCTTTTGCTAGATATTCCTTATTAATAAATTTTGTCTGTTTTAGAACATGGATGAGGCTAAAAGTGGAAAGGATGATATGTCAGATGCACATGTTGTCTCTCTTGCCACTGAAACCGCCCTTAATAACTCAGGACTTGTGTTTTCTGATGGTAGCAACATGCTTGCTTCTGCAGGTGACCTTAATTCAATTTTTATCAATATTTTTATACATTCTGTGTTGTACTGATATTATATAATGAATACAGAAGTAGGTAAAGTTAAAACACTGGAAAGTAACATTTAATAGAGATAAATTTAATAACAGAACATTGAAGTATTGTAGATCTTCAAGTAGAAAAAATTAAGGTAGTTTCTACTTTTACCTAGTCAGTAGACTTATCATTGTTATTTTTAACATAGGATCTGTCACTGTATTTCAGATGTAGCATTGGATGATGGTGGAACAACATATTTGACTCTTCCGCTGCATTTTGTACAAGATGGTTCAGTACTTGAGTCAGGATCTAGCATTCATAACTTAATTCTTAAAAGCTTGGCAAGCAGCACAGTGTTTCTCGATACTAGTCAGGTATGAGTTTGTATGGTTAATGTTGTGAATACAATATACATAATAAGGTCCAGCGGTGGGCTTTTGTGAACTTCTATCAGCTGTATAAGGGATATACTATTGTTAGTTTGCATGTGGTAACCCTTGTTTGTCCCCCTGGTACCATTTGAATCACTGGACAGATTTTTGTGAAACTTGGTATGATGTGCCACTGGGGGCCATTTGGCTCTTGGCATGACTCAAATTGACCATTATCAATGATGGCCAGGTACCTAAGCTAGGGTATTGTGCCTAAGAACCAAACTCTGGAGTATAGGTGAAATGAGAGTTAATTATAGATTTTATGCAGCGACCATATTTCTTTTAACAAAAATATTACTTTAAAATGCTGCATATATTTCGACAATGTATTATCATACATCATTTCAGGATCCTGTGTTATGTAGCATTAGTGACACTCCCATCTCACATGTTCACACTTCTGCCATATTGTTATTGCAAGTTGTAGGAGGAAACCTTTTTTTAAAGTAGTGATTATATTTACCACCTGCTTTAATGATAAGTAACTACATTTTGTCCAAAGATTTTATTTATTGGTTTTATATGATTCTCAGTAGAATCACATAAAATTTCCTTAAACAGTTGATTTGTATAATAGAAAAATATTTTGTTTCATTTGAGGTAATTTGAATTTTTAAATATATAGACAAACTTTTGCTTCAAAGGTATAACATATGAGGTAGGAGTTGTCTCAAATTGAATAAAATTTGTACCAAGTTTTGTGGAGAACAATCAGATTCTTTAAAAGTTAGAAAGTAGGTCACAGACAACATGATTATGTAAGCCTACTTTCTTCCCTTAATGAAGCAAAGTAGGCTAACCACATTGGTCAAATAATTTGATGCTACAAGCTGGAAGTATCTTTTAAATGCACTGTATTGATGACTAAGATTCTCATCATGAACATAGCACTCATCTATTTCTCTTTCCCAACAGTTTACCCTTCTGTCAGGGTGTTCTAGTCAAGTAATATTAAGTACGGATGGCCTTGTTGAAGATGGAGATGGGAAGATTCTGCTGGGTACAGAGAATGAAAAGAGTTCAGATAAAGTTTCAATTGTACCAGGCCTAGGAGTTGATATTGCAACCATTGACCTGACAAACCTTACTAGTGAAGGAGGAAGTGGAGATGTAGGTTCTGATCCAATCGAGAATGGAGAAGTTATCAAGCCTGGGTGTCTCACGTTCAGTTTGGATACAACTATTCATCCTCCAAATAAACAAAATCATGAGGTACATCAGCCCAATTCATCAAGAAGAGGACCAGGACGGCCTAGGAGGGAAGACACAGAAGTAGATCCTCCCATTGGAAAGGTATTTTCTTACTATAAGGGATGCTCATAAAGTAACTTTACAAGGCATGTATCTTGGAAGTGATTCATATAGTCTTCAATATGAATAATTCAGCATCAATAGACAGCTGGTAAACTTCTTTTTTATTTTATTGAGACATCTATCATATCACATGACGAGTTTATGTGCGCATTTTGCATATATGTCAGTGTTTTGTTCCTGCATCATTTATTCAGTACCACATAACCTTAGCAATAGCAGTAAGCAACAAACAGTCAACTCTTAAGTGAGGTGTCTAGAAGGTTTACCTCAAATGGCTTCTAACGAATACTGTGGTGGTTATTTGGTATTTAGTAGGCCCAGTGTCATGGCTTGGCCCAGATACCAACTGTCTTGCCATTTTTTCCTTCTCATTGTCTCCAACAATATGCTTGAAATACACTGTATTTACTGTAATTTTACAGCAGTTGTAGAAAGTAGTGTCTGTAATATTTAATATACTTCCCAGTGATGGAATTATTCAGTCTTGTGGCTGAAGTTTTTCTGCAATATACATAATAACTGCCCAGATTTTTTTTTCTGAGGCTATAATTATTCAGGTTTATTTCTGTATACTTGTGCTTCAATTATCCTGAGAAATAACCAGACTTGAGAAATGTTATGACAACTGCTATCTACTGGTCATTCAATCATTCACTGAACAGAATCCTTAATGAATATTTGTGGTCTGTGCTATGTATCATTATCTTCATCTTCATGTAATTTTATAGGACGGGGTTCAACCTATTGATTGCATGATATTTAAACAATTTTTGTTATTTGCGTACTCTCTGATTATGCATCTTTTATCAACAAAAGACAAAGTTCATACCATTTTTTATACCTGTGACAGAGTGTATTTATTTCCTGTATTTCTATTGACATGGCAACCAGAATATTACAAGCTACAGCACATGAAAATGCTCTTTTATTTGCGTTGAACTGCTCTGTATGCTGCTACATGAAACCCAATCACCATGTCACATAACCTTTTATATAATTTGATTTTATTATATATTGCAGGGGCCATTTAAGTGTCACATATGTGGTAAAGAATTTTCTAAGTCATCACAATGCAAGAGACATGTGAAATGCCATTCAGATGATAAGCCATTTTTGTGCAACCTATGTTCATCATCATTTAATGTGGAGGTAAGAAAATGTTCAGTACAATAGATGCACACATATATGCATACTCATATATGCACATATGCAAAGTTGATTAGTAAGGTAACCAGACCGACTAACATGGTCATCTGTCAGCTATTACACAAACTTTCTTGGAGTTTGTTTGTTTCAGCAACTCACATTCATTACTAGAAATGTTTATTTGTAAATAGATATCATATTGTTTACAATAAGAATTTTTGTAACTGATTGTAAGCTTTCATGGAGGTTCTTTTTTGGTGTTGGAACTGGTTTTGGGTTTTACAGCATTAAATAAAATTAGCTTGAAATACTTCTCTCCATCACACCAATAATTTTACTCAGTCATACTAGGCAAATACTGAGATTGTATGTTGAAATAGGCATGACATCTTTCTCTTTTACAGCCATATGATGCCTTATAACCATTGCAGTTGAAAAAGTGTAATTAAATGTTCAAAGAATAATCAGTCTTAGAGTTTAAAGATCACCCATGATCAATGTCTAATTTCATATGATGCTCTAATCTTTTCTATTAAAACTGCAGTTTCTGTATGAGATTTGATGTTTTCGCAACAGTGTATATGCCATTTCTGGTCTTCTAGGTTATGACACAGTGTAGTCTTGTAACTGACAAAATTCTTCCATAGCACTCCATGACTTCTGTCCTGAAGATGGAGGTGATATGTTTTTCCCAAAATTTTTTTTAGAAACTTGCAAGCCAGCATAGCATCATAAAATAGAATAGAACATTCCACATTAGTATTTTGTGTTTCTTTATTCCAGTCAAATTTGATTCTGCACAAGGCAACACATAATGTAGATGACCCACGGTGTCCAGAATGTAATAAGAAGTTCTCCCGCATTGCAAGTTTAAAGGCACATGTGATGCTACATGAGAAAGAGGAAAGCCTGTTCTGCTCTGAGTGTGGTGATGAGTTCAGCACAATGGTGTGTACTTACTCAGTTCTTTTCTATTTTCCAGTGGAGGCATCAGGATTTTGTCACCATACTTCCCTTGTTTTGTAAGAAAATATATACTTATGACATCATGTGTTTGTCCTTACCTACTGATCAGTAATAAACATTACAATTTTGAGGATTTAAGTGGCTAAAATTTTACTTGTTTATTAACATCTTTGTCGTGCCAACTAGAGAAACATTTCTAGACACCTATCTTACACAAAGACTGTATTTTCTACCAGCTCCAACTTGAGGAACATAAAAGGGAGCACCAAAATGAATGGGTTAAGCCATCTAATCCACAGTGTCGACAGTGCAAATGGCAATTCTCTCGTGCTTCAGCACTGCGTGAACATATGAAGGAACATTACAAGGTAAATGAAAATTTTTTGCAACTCACATAAGAAAATTCAGCCCATTAAGATATTGAAATCTTTCTAGGAACTCTTACTCAAATTACAATTTAAGTATGTGTTTGAAATGGAAAATTGTTAAAATTTACTTTCCTTTCCATTAAGAGCAGTTTTTACTGTTTATGTTAATCTAAACTATGCTCAGACAAATTTACTTATAACTTAGTATTCTGATTCTGAACTTTATAAATTCCATTAATATAAATTTCAAGAACTTAAAAGTTGTAAGTCTTTTGGTTTTCATAGCAGTGTGAGTTCAGATCTTACCTTCTGGTTTGCTACGTTGTGTCATCTTCTGGTCGTACACCAACAACTTGACAACTGAGAAGACTACAGTCCAAAAACTTGGAAGTTGTCATACATATAACTGTCATGCAGCTAAGTTTTCTTAAAAACCCGTCATCAGTAATCAGGGCTTATTTTATTTATTTCAGGTAAAAGCTTCATTGTCACATAAGAGTCACAAACGTAACATAGATCGAAGCACTTTTATCCATAAATGTGACACGTGTCACAAGTGCTTCCAGAAACCGAGCCAGTTGGTCCGACATAAGAGGATCCACACGGGTGAGAGGCCCTATAAGGTATGGTTATTTTAGTTTTTTCAACATTTTAGCTTCTGTTTCCCTTATTTTTATACGGTAAAGAAAGGAACAGTGAAGAATGCTGCAAATAATGACATTTAAATTTTCATATGTAGTCCTACTGTATACTGTTTAGGTATTTTTTATGCTCTGTCACATGCAAAGGACAGCTTGTGGGGCTGTTCCGCCCTTCTGTCTGTTGTGTCTTTCAGCCAAAGAAATCATGCTTCTTCAGTTAGTGGTCTTACAAGCTATGCATCCTACCATTTAATGATTTTACAAACTAATCACGCTGCAGTCGCACATGAAACACTTGAAATAAAACTTGGTAGTTGTCCCTTCTGAATGATTGATTTTTTTCAACTTTTAACTTATCTTTAGAGATACAGTCATATCTTTCACTGTGAAATATAGTATAAATGAAAGAATATTGACAACACCTGAATTCACAACTGCTCATATTCTTTCCATTTCATTGTTTATAAATATTCTGTCATTTCATTAAACCGTAAACAACCCCTACAGTCGCTACAGGAATGTTAAATAATTGATGAACCTTGTAGTCATCTGGCTACAGTTTAAGAGTAGCAAAAACTATTGCGCATTCTCATTTTCTGTTATAAACATATACAGTCTGTAAGTCTGAATGTTCTCTTCTAATGCTTTTTTAAAGATTTGGACTGAAAATATGTAAATATTCATTTATACTGTTCTTTATTCATGTTTTTTAGTGCCAGATATGCCCAAGAGCTTTCAACCAGAAAGGCTCTCTACAAATTCATATGTCCAAACACAATGGTATTAAACCATTTCATTGTGAATTTTGTGCTGCTGCTTTCAGTCAGAAGGGTAAGAAATGTTCTCTGTTAAAATCCAATAGATGAAATTTTTGAAATGATTATATATCAGGACAGCTTTGAGGTTTAACAAAAAGTTATTTTTCTGCCTGATGGTCTGAAAATGCATTCCCCTTAAGTTACCATAAGAATCCAGTAAGTTCCTCATACTGTTGCTTAACCTTATTGACCCATTGGCTCATAAAATAATTTTGTTCTATAACCAGGTTATGATGATAACATTAGCTACAGACACAGAATTAAATAGCATTAGTACTTTATTAGGAAATGATGAGACAGGGAGAATAACTTGGCTTTGCTGTCTGTTTGTACCAGTATTCTAGATTAGTTTTTCATTCAGGAATGTTTGTTATGACACCAAATATTTTGATCTTGACCTGAATCCCAAGGTCCTCATCATTCTAATTAATTTTTAAAGACATTGGGGTGCTTTCCTTCCAGGTAATCTCCGTGCTCACATTGTACGAGTTCATACGATTCCCAACTCAGGAGAACAAGTTTATAAATGCATGGAATGTCCATGTGTGTTTAAAAAATTGGGAAGCCTTAATGCACATATGAGTCGAATGCATTGTGGTGATGGTTCACAGAAGGTGAGAACTCATTTGCAGGAGTAACGCTGGATATTAGAGGTTCTCAAACTATTAATTCATGAACCACTTTCTTAAAAGTTCAGAATACACAAATTCCTATCTAAAATCAAACTTTTCTCAAGAATTTTTCATTTACATGCTTCTTCCCTTTCTTTCCATCACAAATCACCAAGCAGATTATTAATCCTTAGAAGCCCAGAGGTAACTATATGAACTGCCTGCTTTAACATTTAACCATTCTGCACATTGATACTCAATATATTATGTGAGTTGCTAATTCAGTTTGAGATGTTACAACATTCTGTGGATGTTTTTTCTTCATTAGATTGAAGGGCCAGATAATTCTGATACATCACTCATAGTGAATGTTCGAGCCGTGTTGTCACAATTGGCAGAACTGGAAGCACATGTAGCAGGAGATAAAAACAAGATACCTGAGCAGCCTAGTGATTCAGATATTTTGCAGCAAGCCCTGGTTAATAGTGGCCTCTCTGGGAAGGATCAGTCTACCCTGCGAGGTAACTTATATTTAATCACATAATTCACTTTTTCCCTCAAATTTAGCGCATGAGGATTTGTAAAAATTGCCTATCATAGAAAGTATTGCTGCCTTTCTTGCCTATTTACAAATGCAAAACATTTTCTTCAGAAAGCTGGGTATATCCTATGGGAGTTAAATAGACTCTAAGATAATGTTTTAATTTAAATTCTTTGTCTAATTATGAGGTCTAACTATTAAGGAGCCAGACTGATGTTTTTCTACAGCAGCTGGCGACATTGGTGAGTTGGCACATGTTGGAATACATGATGTAGAAGGTTTATGTCAAACAGTTTTGTGGTATGAGTTTCATTGTTACATTTGTTGTTTTCTTGTCTATGAGCATATGAGGATAAAAGATATTTTCGCAGACTTTTCAGCAAGAATGTTGGACTAAATAATGCTGGTGTTGGTTGATGCGTGTGTCTTCCAGTACTACTCAAAAACAAATGGAAAAATCTCCGTTGGTGAAGGCCAAGAAAGCATGAATGTCAGAATCAGAGGTCAAAACCTTGCTGATCTTTTTGGATGTAAAAGAGTTACAAATTTGTTCCTTCATCACAGATCATTCATCATTGTTTTATGCATGATTTCATGTATCAATACACTGCACGGTATGCAAAGTTTTAAGATTTATCACAGATAGTCAACCAAGAATTCTGATTTAAAGTTATGGTAGTATAGTCATTGAAGAGGCCCAAATTTCTGGCCAAACAAGTAGATTTTGACAATGTTCCTTCCCACACAGTATCTAAGTGAGTTTTGATTTTAAAAAATGTCAGTGATTAGTCCATAGGCTCTGTTACAGTAAGAGATTTCTTAAGCCATTACCTGAATTACTTGGTTGCTTAACAATTACTATACCATGGCGTAACATTATTTTCTTGCAGGACTAGAAGATAGTTCTTGCAATCATGAAACCAAAATGAAGGATGGTGTCTGTGATGAGAGTGGAACAGTCAGACAGCACAAGGAGAGTAGCACAACCAGTTACATCACACTTGCTGACAGAGGACTTGATGGAACTGTGAGGTACATATTCTGCTCTTCTTTTCTTATTATTCTTGTTCTTCTCTTCCTTCACCCCCACCTGCTCTTTCTCTTCCATCTCCCTTTTCTGTTAAATATCTGTAATTATAATGTACTGAAATATAATGTTTGTGACTGTAATCTTGAGACTTGCAATGAATGCAGGAAGTCTGAAGCATACTACTGTACTGCATAGCAGATGCTATCTTTCCTCCTTCACCCCACTTCCTCACCCCTCAAGTCTCAAGATTACAGTTGTGACAGTAGATATCATGGGGTTTTGTTGTAAAAATTCATTTCAAGAACTTTCAATCTGCATTAATTTTCCACTCCCCTTATGTATGAGATGAATTGTCCACAGTTGTTTTAGTTCTTTTTAATTACTTTCTCACTCCATAAAATCGATTGCAGTTTATTTATTTTACTTTTTTTTAACTTCCCCCCCCCTTTCTTTGTCATATTTAAAGTCCATTAATATTGTCTACACATTATGTACTTTCCTCTCACACAATATACATACTGTGAGAAAGAACAGACATTTAAGTAAAACAAAAGTACTTGATTTCTAATTACTGGCATAAAATACCATTCATGTTAGGAGCCATAATGTTACAGTATATATAACAGCATCTCACTGTTTGGTACTTTAATGTGGTAAATAATAGTACAGTGAAACCTCGATGCATCGTTTTCGGCGGGGGTGGGAAATAAAAACGATGAATGCGGGAAAACGATAGATGCGGGAAAGCATTAAAAATTTTAAAAAAAACAATGTTTCTCTTTCAAAGTTACTTCTTTTTACCAAAAAAGTCTTTAATGGACAACTGGTTTGTCGAAACTTTACGTTTTAGACCAAACAGAGCACTTTCCACGTTCAAAAGGTTTTCCTCGTCACGTTCACTAATATTAAGCGCATAAAAGAACAACTTCACTTTCGCCAATGCAGCGTGTGCTTCGGCAAAACTCGGCAAAGCTTCGGGCTCGCATTCGTCGTCTCCCTCTTCCTCACCACTCCAACCCCCTTTGCGGACAATAACAGGAAGAATGGAAATACTATTACTGCCGAACTCAACGAAACGTAGCTGTAGAAGACCCTGACCCTGCACCGCTGACCCTCATTCCAAAAGAATGTGCTGGTTGGGCGACATAACAGGTTACCGCTACTGTTTATTCCAAAAACATTGTGCGTCTTTCGGTATTAATTTATCTCTAAACCCAGCATTTTAAATTCTCAGGAACGATCATTGCGGGAAAATTGTGGGCCGGGACTACGATTTTTGAACGATCGATGCGATAAAACGATAGTTCGAGGAACGATAGAAGCGGGAAAATGTAACATTATTTTATATGGGATGTATTCGGGACCGAACAAAACGGACGATGCATCCGGGAAAACGATAGTTCCGGGAACGATGGATAGAGGTTTCACTGTATACTTTTTATGCATATTGTTTTCCTTTTTGACACTAGTATATGCTGTAATTTTTGTTTTATGAATTCAGGAGATATATCATTCGACA